AGCAATTATAATTTGAAAATAACAGCCAAACAAAATAATCCAGGTGCTTTTGTATTTCTTTGAAATTCCATTTGGAAAAAAAAAAAACAATTTAATTGGCATTGATAAATGTGCAAAATTCATGATCTAATAGAATAGAAATCCTAGGTAATAAAATACTTATTCACATTGTTTGTTTTTCAAGAGAATCTTACTATGTTTGAAATGGCTCGTTCTTTTATGTACCTCTCGGGAATAGTGCCTTTGCTGATCAATTGTAACATGAATATTTATTGGATGGGTTTGACTTCCATGCAAAAGGCAACAATCTCACAAAGAGAGAATGGAAAACATGCAAAATTATACAGGATAATGTCATAAATGTCTAACAATTATAATTTAATATTTACCTGCCCTTGAGAATTAATTTGCTATATTAACACGTTGATATAAATTTAATTCATTTACGAAGCAGTAGTTATTTATGAGCACCTGAATGTTGATTATGTTAATGGGACTAATTAGGAAGTTAGTATAACTGATGTTACATTAAACATGTTATCCTTGTTTTCATGTATCTCTTCTTTATACTCACTTTAACTTGATAATTCTCATGTGACAAGCTGTTGTCTGTATCCAGACTCCCCTGTATTTACTGTGAATACTTTTATATACACATTGTTTTATGTATCAATAAATGTTTTTGTGTGTAGTGAATTCTTGTGAAGACTCCTTATTGTTGTGCTGGTTAATTCTTAATAGCCTAAGAAAGCGTCACAAAAACATAATGTATTCTGATCATTTGTTGTTCTTTTTTTTTCTTTTAGTTGGAGAATCTCTTTCCTTTTCTCTTCACGTAACTGTACTCCAGCTGGGCCTATAGCTGGGCCCATGTTGATAGGGTCCTGTCTACCAGTCGTTTCTTCTCTGTACCTACCTGGCAGAACTGAGCATGAAGACTCTTTCAACTGTGTCTCTGCTCTGGACACTCCGGACTAGAGCTTCGGAAAGGTAGCCACCACATGTTTGGCTTTTTCTAGCTCTGTCTGGAGGCTTCTGCTCTGACACCTTCTCAGGTCATTGCTTATTCAGTTGAATTCCTTTGAAGTGTATGTTTGTGTTCAGACTGGTTTAACTGCAGCTTTCTGATCTGTGTCAGGTGGCCATCTCCACATTCTTTTTTAGCTCTTTGTTGGCCTGCAGGGGTTTACTTTTCTCCTTGAGCTCACAGGTTTGCTGCACTTTTGATGCAAGTTTTCCGGCTACACATTGTAGATTCTGTTTGGCATTCCAATGATACAGTTGGTGCCTCAAGCACTGTCCAACTGCAGAAATACACAGCAATGCACTCCAGGAATGCACAATGTGCACTGTCCAAATGCAGAAAGTCCAGCTGTTCATTATTTCTATCCTTCAGCTGCTTCTTCAGGCTCATCTAACTGATGTGATCCTGTGCAGCAGTGTCCTCAAACATTCTCATAAAGTGCTCATGAAAGTTCAATTGCTCTTTCAGCTTGGAGTTCAATACTTTCTTTTTGAGTCCCATCCAGAATATTTTGTTAGAATTTGAGGACACGCATGACTCCTTTCTTCACCTCTTAGGACACTGTCTGCTCCTCCCTCTACTCTTGGGACATCTGGGTCACAAATAGTTCCTTTTCCCTCACCTCTTGGGACAGAGCAACCCATAGGATCCACAGTCCTCCCCAAAACGTGCCAGGATCGCCAACTGCTGAAACTGAAGCTTTTGAGGCAAGCTCAAACCTCGTCATTAATTTTTAGCTTGGCCACATTCACTTGCTGCAATCATTTCAGCAATTCTCCTGAATTTATCTTTAAGATGTCCATGCTGATTTTCTTTTCAGGATAGTACTTTTGTTGCCACCAGAGGGTACTGTTTAACTATTGTTGCCACCATATGTGATCAATCCCATTTCTGGTTGCATGCCTCAGGGACCTTGCATTTTAAAACACTGCACTTCAACATGGATAAGGATTTAGGATTTATAAACTATTCTGGCAAAACAAAACCAAATAGAAAAAAAAGAAGACTAAGTCTTCTTTTGCGCTCCAGCTAAACGTCTATAAACACAACTGGGCAGTTAAGCTGCTTCCCAGCTCCAAAACGCAAGTCTTTCTCTGAGACCAAAACTTACATTTTTTGTGTTAGTGGTTTGCTAGTTGTTTGCTTTCATCTCTACCGTCTTATCCCTCTGGTACAAATGCATTTCAGAAACTCTTCTGAGTTCCTAGCTTGCAGAGTCCAAAGGCCTTTGGGAAGCCTTAGCTTCTTGGTTTTAACCCAAGCAATTGTCTTCCTTTAAATAGTCAGACGACTAACAACGGTCTGTCATTCCCTTTTGCCTTCTGGGGAATGTAGTTCAGACAATAGTCCCCTCTCAGACTGGGTAATTCTTTACTTGAATGAGGCTAACGATCATGATCATAGCTCCTTCATAAACACTAAACAGCACCACACATGCATAAAAGCAATATCATTAAATGAAAGATAACCATACTAGAACCACGGCTACTGAGCTGATCTGTTTACTGTTGCTGAGCTATCCTTGTTGGCTCTCAAGTCCTTAATGGTGTCTTCCTTCATTTTCAGTGGAATTAAGAAATTCTTTATCTTCATCATATCATCTGCTGGCATTCTGAGAACTTAATCAGCTCAGTGCTAGATAGTACAATTTTATAGTATGTTATGCCACTTGTTTGACTCTGAGGCCAAATAATCTACTTGGTCATTCAGCATTTTCATAGTAGAGCTGATTTGTCTTCTGTAGTACAAATGTTGCTCTAACTTTGGTGGATAATATCAGTTTTTCTCCTCTTCAAGTTACATTACGTTACATCACCATTTAACTGTAGAATTGCAGTTTCTAGATGAGAAAGGTTTTTGTTTAGATTAGAAGCAAAAATGAGCTTGTAATACTGAGTACTAATAAAGTATGTAGTAACTTCCCATAAAGAATGAGAGCTGATTTTGAAGCTTTTCTGAAACTTTATTAAAAAACTTTAGAGAAGTACTTTTAGAAGGTCTCATTCTGAAGTAAAAGTAAAAAAAAGCCATACTTGGACTTGGTTGGTTGGAAATTTCTGTAATTTCCACTTTTTGTAGTGTTGAGTGGACTATCTACTTGACTGACAAATTAGATTAATCTTATTCAAGGGCACAACAGCAATATTAACAGTCAAAACATAAACTTGAACATTCCTGTTATGAGCTATGGATACAGAGCATTATTCAAATATAATGCCAGTGGTTAATACAGAACTGTGGCAAGATCAGATATAAGGACAGATATAAGGAAGTATGTCTGTCTTTATGGAGTATGGAGTTAATATACTGCATTAAGGATGGGCAAAACACAAATATACTCAATACAAGCATTTAGAAACATAAAGAGGGAACACATCTTGTGCTGTTTAAAAA